ACAGCACTCATGTTTCTGGAGAGGTTTAACTGGGGGGGGGGAAGCCCCCCTCCATGTGCCCACACCATCCTCCAGCCCGAGTGCAGAACTGAACAAAACGGTAAAGGGCGGAAGGGCTGAGCATCGGCTGTCATCTCTGCTTCCTGACCAGAGTCAACATGGCCGGCTGCTGCACTTTCTCGCTCTAAAACTGAGCCAAAGTAATACACTCACCCCTTGGTCAGGTTGCTTTCTGCTGGGTTTTTTTTTGTTTTTTTTTTTCTTTTTTTGGTCTTTTTGAGACAGGGTCTCCCTGTAGCCCCAGCTGTCCTGGAACTCACTATGAAGACCAGGCTGGCCTCAAACTCACAGAGATCCACCTGCCTCTGCCTCCCGAGTGCTGGGATTAAAGGTGTGCGCCACCACGCCCAGCTCTGCTGGGCATTTTTATTACAGCAACGAGAAAACTAATATACCTCGTGAGACTTTGTTTTTCTTCATCAATAAATTTGGTCTGTATATTTGGGCTCAGGGCAAGAATGGAGGCCACTTCCTAACCACAGCACCAAAACTGGAGAACCATGCTGCTCTGCCCCTCCAAGTCTCCCTCCGCCTCCTACAGAGGATGCAGTGTGAAGGCAGTCCCACAGTTTTAAATGAGAAAGACCCATTCCCTTAAGTGCTTTGTCACGGCAACCAGAAAAGTGACTGTACAGGGCAGTTCCACTGCAAAGGCCCATGGATTCCACCAGCATAACCCTATCTTAGGAAGTCACTCCTGGCTGAGCAGGATGGACACACCTCCGAGGCTGGAAACAGGACAAGAGTGAGAACCCTAAAGTGACCATGAGGGGCACCTTGCCTCACAGCTCTGCAGGACGAAGGCCAAGCTCCATCCCTCGGGCTGTGCACTCCAGCAGGTTGGTGCCCCCAGGTCCTCATCTACAAAGGAGAATCTAACCACCTGTACAGCCTTTGACCCCTCCTTACCCCTGCCCCAACACACTACGAAGAGTTTGGGAGGTAGCATCCATTTCTGCAGGCTGTTTCCCAAAACAGACACCAATGACTAAGATCCTGCTCTGGCAAGGCAGGTTTATCAGACACAAACCCAGAGACCAAGAGTGCGAGGCTATTTCCTACTTACCAGCAACGAGAATCCTATGGGAGGCCTGGTTTCCCTGGTGAAAGTGCCCATGGAGCACTCCAGTGCTCGCTGTCCTCGGCACCTAAGGACTTCCATTCCCCATCCAGGCCGAGGATGAGCAATCACTGAACCCAGGAGGCTGCAGAAACCAACCTTATCGGACCCACCAGGGACTGCTCCCCAGGCTAACCTTAGTGTGTACAGACATGTTCCAACTTGCTCACCAGCTGAAGTTCCCTCACACAAGCAGCAACATCCACTGTTGCCTCTGCTTATGACGTAAACAGATGCTGCAGATGCTGGGAACAAACTTGCTGAGAGAACTTCAATTTTTAAAATATTTCATTATCCTGCCACTCTCCCCAGCCAACTAGCCCAGCCTTGGAAGACAACAGAAAAATGAGGAGGAACCCAATAGAGGGATGCTTTTGGAAGCCCTTGTCAAGAAACTCCAATGGGCTCTCATATGAACATTTGAAAATTGCCCTGTTCTTTTTTCTAGTTCCCTGTCTAGAACTTCTAATGCTAATTACTCTTACCTTTACTTCTCTTTCACATCTCCTATTCACAATTCAAGGACTTTCTTTTCCCCTTAGAGACAATAATTATACAATTTGGGAGTCTTTTAGATAGACCCACTGAAGGGTACTCCAATTACTTCACCCTGCATCCCTGTTCTGCATGTAAGAAGGCTGAGCAGTCTGCATCCTGATGCCCTATTAGCAATTTAGGTAGACTTTTGTGGTTTGGTCCACTTCCCCTTGTCCTAGTGATGCCAGCCTCTCATATGACGTTCCATTTTGGCAGCATCAGCACTTTAGTGGCAGCAGCTGGAACACCCAGGTGAAGGACAGCTCAGTGAAAGAACCAGAGAAGGATCCAAGGCTGACAGATATGTCATGGCCTTGTCTCTGTAGAGTTACCTCTTCAGAGGGGGGAATGTTGGAGGGGAGGGAGCGGGCATGGATTTGATAAAAACACCTTATATACATATGAAATTCTCAATGAAGTTTTTGTAAAAGGTGTGTAAGTGTACTGCCTGTGTATTAAGCACACGCAGATATCAGAAGATGGTGCTGGATTCCCCGGGAACTGGAGTAACAAGAGAGTTGTTAGCTGCCATGCAGGTGCTGGGACTCAAACTCAGGACTTCAGTTTTGACAAAACATTTCTATAGGGCTAAAGATAGGTGGCTCAGTGGTTAAGAGCACTGGCTACTCTTGCAGAGGACCTGGGTTTGACTCCCAGCACCCATATGGAAGCTAACAACTATCCATAAGGCTGGGAGTGGTGGCGCAGACCTTTAGTCCCAGCACTTGGGAGGCAGAGGCAGGCGGATGGATCTCTGTGAGTTCGAGGCCAGCCTGGTCTCCATAGTGAGTTCCAGGCCAGCTGGAGCTAGAGGGAGACCCTGTCTCAAAAAGGCCAAAAAAAAAAAAAAAAAAAGCAAAAACGCCCACAAGTGTCCATAACTCTAGTTCCAAGGGAAGCTGATACCCTCTTCTGACCTCCACAGGCACTGGACAACACAGGTGCACTTACACACATGCAGGCAAAATAGTCATACACATAAAAAGTATTTTTAAATAAAAAACCTTTCAGGGGCTGGAGAGATGGCTCAGCAGTTAAGAGCACTGGCTGCTCTTGCAGAGGACCCAGGTTCAGTTCCCAGCACCCACATGGTCGCTAACAACCATCTGTAATTCCAGTTCCAGGGGATCTAACACCTTCTTCTGCCCTCCACAGTGCACTTACATGCAGGCATATTTTTTAAAAAACATTTCTAAAGGGCAGGCTGATCTCTAAAACCATTCACAAACTCCCTTCTGTTAGGAAATATTACCAATGGAAGTTCAACTGGACCCCAAAGATCTCTTGACCATCCCCAAGTTTCCATGCCTGTTACCCCCACTTAACTGCCATCAAGGAAGCCAAGACTTTAGCAGAATTTTAGAGATAAAAAATAAGCTAGGGTGTGAGTTTGTGGGAGACTGTCAACTATGTCAGCCACCCTCCCAAACCCTCACACTGACAACTATGTCCCAATAGTTTCGGGGGACACAGCCTTCCTCAAGGGCACCAGACACTGACTGGTTGCAATGGTGTTTGTCAAACTGCAAGTGGGTATTTTTGTCTAAAGTAATACATTTTAAGCACTTGGGAGGCAGAAGCACAGGGAAGAAGACTAGGAAGTCTCAACAGGGACTATCCAGAGGGGGTTGGCCATGGGCACGTCTACGGGGGGGATTGTCCTAATTAAATTCATTCAAGTGGGAAACCCAACCCATTATGGACAGCGCCATCTCATGAGCTCAACCCTCAATGTTTAAGAATGAAAAATGATGGGCTAGAGAGAAGGCTCAGCAGTTAAGAGCACTGGCTGTTCTTGCAGAAGACCCAGGTTCGAATCCCAGTACCTACATGGTGGCTAATAACCGTCCATAACTCCAGTTCCGGGGATGTGACGCCCTCTTCTGTCCTCCTAGGGCATTGCATGACACGGGTGCACTTCCACACATGCACACAACATGCACATACACATAAAGCAGGACTAGAGCAAACAATAAAAGAATGGAAACCAGGAGCTGAGCGACTTGACCTGCCTTCACCTCTTTCTCCACTATGCCAGCACTGGCTGTCACGTCCTGCCATGACATCCTTGAACTGGACTGTGACCTGGAATTCTAAGCCAAATAAACCACTTTTCTCACAAGCTGCTTTTGGAGAGTATTTTTTCAGACACAGAAATGAAATCAGGACCCTTAGGTATGGATGAGGATAAAGGCCGTTTTGGAACAACGCAGGAGGCACTTGCAGGTAAAAATCAGAAAAGCCATATGCAAACACTTCCAGCTTGAGACCAAGGAAGCCAGAGCCCTCGTCTTGCTGCACAGGAAGCCCACTCCACAGGAGTGCATTCTCAGTTTCACTGATAAGATTTTCATCTCCTAAAATTCTCTGAAGAGCCTATCTACTTGTTTTCCAGAAAGATCCCGATAAGCACCCAGACCTCTAGTAGGAAGCTGGGCCCTGTTAGCACACCCACCCCATGACTGCTCAGCTCTCTCCTCCCTACCCATCACCAGCACATAGCAGGGACACAGCTCAGGGGGCAGCAGCTCTGGAAGAGAGCCTGGAAACACTTCCTCCTCGGCTGCCCTTACCAAATCACTGGCACTATGCCAAGGCCTCATATGGGACAGCAGTGCACAGGCTTCCCTGCCCAGACCAGCAGGCTATGATCATTTGAAGACAAAGTGCCAAGGCTGCCCTTGAGTCTAATGGGACAAGTTGTCCTGAACCTGTATGTTAGATCAGGCTAGAGAGGGGAAAATGCACATCGCAACTCTTCATGGTCCTCGGGGGTGGCTCCGCCTATCTGAAGGCCTAAATCAGTGTCTGCAATGAGGAAAGGAAGTGGTGGATTCGAAGGTGGCACACCACGCCCAGCTGGGTTGAGACAAAGGTGTGGACTCACACACCGTGCTCAGTCCTGCCCTACCCCTGCAGGTCCCACGCAGACCTCACTCATGGCTGGCAGGATGAAATTTTCGGCTGAATTTTTTGGAGGCTGTAAGGCGGACTCTCACACACTGTGCTCAGTCCTGCCCTACTCCTGCAGGTCCCACGCAGACCTCATGGCTGGCAGGATGAAATTTTCGGCTGAATTTTTTGGAGGCTGTAAGGAGATCTTCGGCCAGGTGGGGGAGCTGCTGGGCCCTGCTGAGCACTGTGTTCCATCACAGGTCTCCATTTTCTGAAAGCTGTCTTTCCTAATTGCTACAAGAGGCTCGCATGTTAAGAAAGAGATTTAAAGGGATTAGTTACAGTGACTGTATGTTTAACACTGCTACAAAATACATTTTACACCTCATTTTAATTGAATGTGAAGATGTTTATTGCATCCTATTTTTGGTGGGGAAACAAAACACATTTATTTAGCACAACTGGGCAGGAAGCACTTCCACTCCTGGTACCATCTCAGGACCATCAGCTGCTCCGCTGGAATAAACACCCTGCACCCTGCAAACCACATCTGACACTAATTTTCTCCTCTCAGGATAGGCAGCAATTCACCATTTTCTTTCAGCTCCTAAAAACAAAAACATACATTGAGGTGTACTGAGGTGTATGCTTACAAAGCAGAGAACACTGAACAAGCACAGCACAGAAGGGACACCTGCTGAATTAAAGCCACAACACAAGCCTTCACCGCCCGGCATGCTGAGGAGTGGAGACTGAATTGCGAGGCTCAAGAGCAGAGCAGGTGCCTGACATGCCAGCCAAAGCCCTGGGTTCAATCCCCAATACATATCAAGCGCCCACCCCATCTAGTCCTTTATGAAGACAGCACCCTGCATGTGACCCACACGCACTCCCGGCTACACCTCATCTCCACTAGAAGGGAACGCTGGACAAGTGCTGTCACACTGCATGTCCAGGAATAACAAGAAGGGCTGGAACAGGCTCACACATGCATTTTTCTAAAATATTTTATTATTCTTGTTTATGAGTGTATTGCCTGCATGTATGTGAGTGCACCTGTGTCGTGCAATGCCACAGAGGTCAGAAGAGGGCTTCGGAGTCCCCTGGAACTGGTGTTAAGGATGGTTCGTAGCCGCCATGTGGGTGCTGGGAATCGAACCTGGGTCCTCTGCAAGAGCAGTCAGCGTTCTTAACTGCTAAGCCATCTCGCCAGCCCCACATGCAATTTTTTAAAGAGTTTTTTGTCTTCAGCGGTTGAATCTGCACATGCAGCCCCACAGATGGGAGCAGATGGAAGGATTGGCAAACACTCAGGTTACAAAGTTAAAGTGTTTTCCAAAACCAACAAATTAGTTAGCATTAGCGCACACAGCAACTGGAGCAAAGCCAGGAGCCCTCTACTCCACCACCACAGAGTATGTGCAAGGCTGAAGGAAGCAGAGTGCCAGGGACCAAGGCCACGGCACGCCCGCTCCCGCTGTCCCTCACCGACGGTGGGCAGGCCGCACTGTTTCAATTAAGCCAGTTCATCTACATTTCGAGAAAAGCATCAGTGCAGCAGGGAAACCACACACCAGAAACCACTGAAGGGCACAGCAAGCCTGGTGCAGCCACCTGTGCCTGTCCTGGCTACGTGAGGCCAAGGAGACCAGCCTGGACAACAACATGACCATCTTTTTTTATAGGAGGAGGGGCCTCCCTGTAGCCTCCAGCTGACCTAGGACTCACTATGCATACCAGGCTGGCCTCATTCTCCCAGAAATTCGCCTGTCTCTGCCTCCTACTGGGATTAAAGGCATGAGTCACCTGGCCTAGCTAAGACCCTGTCTTAAAAAGCACACAAGGGGGACTAAAGAGATGGCTCAGGGGTTAAGAACACTAGTTGTTCTTGCAGAAGACCCGGGTTTGAATCCCAGCACCACATGGCAGCTAACAACTGTCCGTTAACTCCAGTCCCAGGGGATCTGACAGCCTCTTCTGACATCTGCTGGCATTGCACGGCTGTACTTACATACATGCAGTACACATAAAATAAACTAAAAATAATTAATAATAATAATAATAAAGCACCAAGTAAAGGTGAACTCAGAAACAGCTGCCAGGAGGGTTATTCAAATTTCAGGACAGGCTCTGCATATCTTTAACCTAATTTCTAGAATGAAAACTTGGGAGTGCAGTCATCAAGTTTCAAGTATGACAATAAAGAATAAATTTCCTTGTCTATAATTTGCTGTGACATTTCCAATTATCAGTAGCACAAACATTCATCAATAAAACCACTAAAATCTACACATCCAGCACAGCTAGACATCATTCAGCCATGAACATGGACAACCTACCCTTTAGACACGTGCAAGTCCTGCCAGGACTGTTGTGGAGTCAGGCTCATGCCTATGCAGGGGACACAGACACACAGACACACACACAGACAGACAGACAGACACACACACACACACACACACACGCACAAAACGCAGACAGGACGGGCCTACTGAACCTTTGTGCTTCCTCACCACACTGAGAATGTGAATCTTGCCCTCCAGGGCTGCGAGGACTGCATGCAGTGACCCGCACACAGCACTGCAGCAGTGACCCCCACACCGGAGGGCGTCAGTTCTCATCCTGAGAGCCAGCAGTTCACAGGGTGACCTGAGCTAAGACTCCAAACCACAAAACAGACTGTCTGGGTCACACACTCACTCAGACAATGATGCGTTCACTCTTTAGGGCAATCAGCTCCTAGTACCTGTCAGCAGCTGTCTTCATCAGGGTGACAGACCGACCAGGCCACTGTGCTATGAGAAGAGCCCACTCAGTTACTCAGTCAACAAAAAGTACTAAGGCTCGAACAGACCCTGTTTAGAATTAGCCCTTTGGAGTGTGTTCTAATTGAATTCAAGAGGGAATGTGCGGCACGTGTGGAAACACCAAGACAGCGAGTGCTGGCTCCTTCGTCTCCCAGGAAAGCGGCAGCAGGGCCACCTTTCCACATGTGTGTGCTCTGAGCAGTCACCCTAAACAGCCCTAGTGCCCTGCTGCACACCATGAAGAGCCCACGAAGCTTGGCTTTCACGTGAAAAGCCACGCACTGACCGTCTTCCCCAGGACCCTCGATGACTGCAGGCTAGGCTGTGCCACATGCACACAAGAACAGGCCCAAAACACCCTGGGCCTGAAAACAGTTTGTGTTTTACAACAGGATGATCTTCAGTATAGTGTGTGCCTGGATGCTCTGCATGAGGTTATGTGTGGATACACTCTATTCTGTTTATGTGTGCTCTGCATGTGTGCGTGTGTGGATACCGTGGGGGGGGCGTGGATACCGTGGGGGGGGCGTGGATACCGTGTGGGGGGTGTGGATACCGTCGGGGGGCATGGATACCGTGTGTACGGGCGTGGATACTAAACCCACAAATGCAGACGCACCTTGTTGCTTCAGGAGTATTCAAAAGCCGCAGTGGTATTTTCTTTTCCTCCAGGAATGAGACCACGTACGAGGAACGCTGCTACCTGGCTCATTTAAGAGGTACCAGCAAGCCTGGCACACGGCCAGAAACAAAGCCCACCAAATTGGTCCAGGTACTGACACCACTTCAAAGTTAGGCTAGAGGTCCTTCACATCATAAAAGCGTCCATAGCTTTTACTATGTAAAACACCTAAAAGCACCACTCACTCAACTTGAAAGTCAAATGTGTGATATCAAAGAAACCTTCCCCAAACAATGGAAAGTACTGGCGAAGCACGTGTCAGTGGATTCCCACACTGTCCATTGTCCCCACACGCCCTGTGACACACTGCCTGGGGTTGTATTTGGAGGCTATCAAAACTGCAGCGTCCCTATACAGACTATGCTAACCCACAGAGTTAACAGATGGGGCCACCCAACATTTGACACATTAACTAACAGTCATTTAAAAGACAATGAAAAACAGAAAGATTAAAGCTGTTTTATCTTTCTTATCTATCTTATAACCATTTATCAACTCTTAAAACAAGGGTGTGTCAGGAGTGATTCAAAGGTGTCCAAGCCAGCTGTGGTGGCTCAGCTCCTGCAGTCTCAGCACTGGGAAGGACTGAGATAGGCAGATTGCTATGAATTTGAGGCCAGCCTGGTCAGAAGAAATTTCAAGCTGGCCTGAACTGAAGAATGAAACCCTGTCTCGAAGGAGAGAAGAAAAGTATGCAGCACACGGCCCTCTCTAAGTATGGCTTCAATCTGATGGCCAGCAGGGGCTCAGCACCCGGTGGGGCAGTCTGAAGCTCCTGTGGCACCGGCAGAGTCCGGCCAGCTACAGGCCGCCACCACCCTCCCTAGCCTCTCACGCCTCATTGTCACTCTATACCTGAGTGCAGGTGAGGGAAGGAAAAGCCAATGATACTGGGAAACAATTACACTAACGTAAATACAGAACCTAAGAATGTGGGGGGCAAGAGCTGTTTCCAGCTGAAGACTCCACACATTTACAGGCAATCTGGGCCCTGAGAGATGGAGAAAACAGATTTAATTATAGATTATGTAGGAAAACCCAAAGATAAAGAACAAGGTAAAGACAGGCTTTTAAAAGGCAGGAAAACAGAGGAAAGTTCTCTTGGGCTTAGGGTAGCACAGCTCTCTAAACTCTGGACCTACCGCTGCTGAGGCTAACTCGTGCAAAAGCAAGCTGAGGTTCTGCAGACAGCTCGGAGCGGAGGAATGCATGAGATATAAGACAGAGACAGAGACTGCTCCATGTGAGGCTGGAGAGAAGCCAGGCGGCCCCCAAGTTCGAGTTTTACACATGTCAATTCCTCAGCCCTCCAGAACTTACCTTCACAATGTCCAGTCCTCCAACAAGCTCCCCTTTCACATAAAGCTGAGGGTAGGTTGGCCAGTTTGAGAAGGCCTTTAATCCTTGTCGCACCTAGAGACAACACAAAGTCTGAGCTCTTCCTACCAAACCCACGAACAAAGCTGAAACTGAACAAAGCAGAAAGCCCAGGACTTACTTCTTCATCCTCCAGGATGTCAAAGGTTTCATAGTCCACACTGCAGAAAGGAGACAGCATTCAGCAGGAGCACGTTTCATTCAAACGACTGTAAGACTGAGACCTACATCGTGTCTCCAAACAGGCAAGGAAAGCAAAGGACTGCTAACAAAACCTCCTGTAGAAAGCTCACCATAGGTCAGTGGAAATGATCTAATGTCAGCTGTCAGGTCTTTCTAGACAACACTGGACATAACCAGGAGTTGTTAAGTTTACTGTTGTTATAATTATTCACTCATTTATTTGGGGGCGGCGCCCACACGTCATGGGGGTGCCATGACATATGTGAAGGTCAGAGACAACTTGTAAGGGTTGGTTCTCTCCTTAAATCATGTGGGTCCAAGAGATGGAATTCAGGTCAGGCTTGGCAACAAGCACCTTTACCCACTGAGCCATTCGTTGTCTCCAACTTTTCTTAAAGAAGAAAAAGAGCCAGATATGGTGACACTCACCTTTAATCTCAGCAGTAAGGAGGCAGAGGCAAGTGGATCTCTGTGGGTTCTAGATTAGCCTGGTCTACATACAAAGTTCCAAGTGAGCCAGGACTACAGAGTGAGACTCTGTCTCTAAACAAAACAAAGCAAAGACAAGCCTGCCTCCCACCCCTGCTCAGGACAGAGTAAAAAGAGGCCAGCATCACAATAAACTGACTGGTCCCCTCAATAAAACATCAAAAAAACACTGGTTTTTTCCTGTCAGTTGAGTTGTATTCTGTATGTGCTTAACTGACTGCCTCCAATCCTGCCCCAGATCTAATCACCGAAAGCTCTGAGTAGAATACAAATTATAAAGAACAATCATGAAACAAGAGAAATAAGCCAAACATTGGAAAACTCAAAGAACCCGTCTGAGGCTGCCACATAAATCCATCCGGGGTTCTCAGCTGGCAGGCTCTCCCCAGTCACTCAAACACAGGAGTCAAGCAATCCGTCCCTGGTTCAGACAGTGGACCTCATGTGTGCCTATCAGTCTCACATAGAGTTTGGAAAGCACACGTTTAAGATTTTAGAGCAACATGTGATATACTCTTGTATTGCCTTTATGCACAGTGGCAACAGTGGCCAGAAAATTGTATTTGGTCTAAGTTAAAGCATTCAAAACATTACATCAAAAACATAAAGACAGCCGGGCATGGTGGCGCACACCTAATCCTAGCACTCTGGAGGCATAGGCAAGTGGATCTCTAGAGATGAGGCCAGCCTGGTCTACATGATCAGGTGCTGGCCAGCTTGGGCTTCAGGGAGACCCTGTCTCAAAAAGACCTAAATAAATAAATAAATAAAAGATAGGGCTAGAGAGATGGCTCAGCAGGGAAGAGCGCCTATTGAGTCATCGTCTGTCCCGTCCCCCATCCCCCACAGCCACAGTGGGTGGTTCACAACCACTGTAACTCTAGCTCCAGGAGATCCAACGTCCTCTTCTGTCTAGCCTCTGCAGGCATCCACATGCATGTGCACATATACATACACAGACACAGAAATAAAAGTTAAATCTTAAAAAATAAAATTAGGTAACAAACATATGGTAATAAAAACATGAAAACAGGCTCAGACATTCAAGCTGGAAGCCATCAGTGATATTTTGAAAAGCTGGATTTAAGTGTACTAATTGAAAGCACAATTTACATACCCAGTACTATTCAGTATTTCCAGAATTTGTTTGCTAAATCCACATTTTGCTTCCTAAAAAAAAAAAAACAGTATTTCACATGACCCAACTGATGCTGGTCAGGAGCCAGGCAGGCAGTGCCCATGGAGCCGTAACTGCCACTGCGTCTACCCAGCTCCTGGCTTCTGCTGCCCCTTCCACAAGTACAGTCCAGGGTGACATCCCACAAGACAGACTGGCTGTGACCTTGCAGGATGACCAAAATAACAGCTTATGATCCCCGTGGTCAGAGACAGGGCTACAGGCTCACCTGACTCCTTCCATACGTTATGAAAAGTGATACAGCACACATTTACTGTCGGGCAGTGACTACGATCATCACTTTCATGTTCCTACTGGGCCTCTATTCACACCTTTCAAATGTACCTTTGTCTCTCAGGGCAAGCTCTTCTGAAGTGACAGAAGTCCTGTGCTTTATTTGATGCTACAGACCCCCAAGCCCCAAGAATCTTGTGGGAAAAGGTTGACACGATCAATACCTAAAAGCTCCAACTACACCATTCCCAAGATGTATGCATTCTTCCTGGGTTCCCAAAAAGATAATGAATAAAAACATATTTTACACAATCATGAAGGACAGAAAAATGGCCCTTCTTCATTACTGAGTTACTAACTTCCTGTTTATTTAAATACACACTGAGCCAATCAGTTTATGTTCTGACACAGTGATGTCAACATGCTAAAAATCTATTAATATCTTCCTTACGACTTCTGATACACTAGTTACATTAACTAATTAGTTATGTTGACTAATGAGTTTTATTATGTTGGTAATATTAGATTCCACCCTTAAGGCAATCTGATTGTTAAAACAGTCCTATGACTTTGCTACATCCATTCACAAAGGGGCAAAGGCGGGCCACCGTGGCCGTCACAGCCTAAGGTAACCTACCTAGTGCCTGGGCAGCTCCCAGCTCCATCAGCCTCACTTTTCAGAGCTCTAGTTAGTTTCCTTACCCCAAGAGGAAGGCAAACTGTCAGCGCTGCCTGCCTGAACCTGCAGAGGCTCAGAACTCAAGTGTTAGAAAACTGCAGAATACTACAGAAACGAGAGGACTAGTGTCTGGAAACGACCAGTCTCATCTATCAGTGCAAGTGACCTACAAACGTGATGTTCAAAACTATGAACAATCACTAAGTGCTTCCATCAAAAGTCTACAGGGACCCTACAAATGAGAGCTGCTTGTAGTTTCGTTATACATCAAGCAGGTAGGGCAGAGCACAGGCACCGCCACGGTTTGTTTTCTATCATGGGGGGATAGGAAGGAAGGAACTTCAGCGGTCCACACCCCAAACAAGGGTAAAGAGCAACTGACAAGCTGCAAAGTGTTAACAGCGGTGACCACTTTAGCTGACAAAGTTTGGCTCAGAAAGAAAGGCACCCTGCTGAGATGTTGATGATAAAGTCAAGCAAAATGTAGATTACTTCGTTTGATCTCCATAAGCACCAATTAAGGCCTGGATAACTTCCTGATGGCACCACAGCTTCATCAGCTAAACCAGGAAAGAAGACTTAACTGTCCCCTCGCTACAGATGGTAACCATCAAAAGAAATTACAAATAAAGCCATTTCTGTGTTCTTTACCTGCTTGCTTCCTTTCATAAAGAGCATCACTGAAGCTTGATTGGTCAGCACTTTGAGCCTGAAGAGAGAAAACTGATATGAAATGGCTCAGCTCAATTATTAAACACCACTTCTGCTCCGCTTCAAGAGAACAGGCATATTTCAGGGACAGCAAGAAGACAGTTCACAGCTTTGAGTGGTACTAAAGCAGCAAATGCAGACATTCCCCTGGATTTCATTCTCTCCCTGAGCCACTGTAAAGCACAATGTGGCTTTTTAAGGCAACGAATGTTCCTTCAAGTTGCAATTTAAGCCCATCAAATCACAGCACTAAAAAAAATAATAAGCAATTCAGTCAGGAATTATTCAATAGGGGGCCTACACACGAAGCCCAGCCACAAGTTCCCAAGCTGGACCTGAGCTCTTTCTCAACAGAATGCTGCTGGCTGTTCACCCTCCGGCACTTGCGAGGGTAGAGGCACAGGGTGAGAGTGCTCATCCTAACCCTCCAACCACCACTCGCTGCTAAAGCAAAAGTTCTAACTGACACTTGTCAAATATCATCATCTAACTTCTTGTCAGGAACTCTCACCATCTGCATTCTGCATTTGGACCACGTCAGTCACCCATTGTAGAAGTCACACACCATCTTGTCCTCACTGCGGCTTCAAACAGCCTTACAGAATAGAGCTGTCACCAGTGAAATGCAGATCCACACTTTTGACCAGGACACTGCACTTCCAGGGAGTGTAACGAGCCTCCAGCACCTCAGAAACACATGCTGCCCAGAGCAACCAACTACCTACCTGGATCCAGACCCCGGGGTCACCCCAGACTGTCGAAACACATGTCTCATGTCTACAAACTTTGCTAAGGAAGAGCCTTTTAAATTACCCCCTCGAAATACACCAGGCACTGCTTTCTCTGCAGTTGTGGCCAGCAGTCTGCTGGAGGCCCCAAGGCACAGGGGACAGAAGCAGCACTTAGCTCCCTGCTGGAGGCGAGGCAGCAGCAGTCCAGAACAGGGGAAAACATGCCCTGGACCATGGACAGTCTAGGGGTAAAACAGGAGAGCCAAGCTAGATAAACCCCCACAAGCCAAGGACATCCCAGACTACAATAAAGACCATGCAAAGCGCCCAGGAGAGCCCCACCCTTCCTTCACTACAAGCAGAGGGCGCACACCCAGGAGAGCACAAAGCATCAGGCCACCATGGCCTACAGGGAGCACTGCTGCCAAGAGTCCTTGAATTAAGTCCACAGAGACGATGCTTTTTTATTAAATACTTTGCAGATATTCTCGCAGTGTTAAATGGCAAGAAAATTACAAACTCAAGCCCCAACTAATGGTTGATATGCTGGTGTATTTCAAAATAAATTCCTTTTAAAAACTCTACGTTAGTTCATACTGATTACAACAGCTGCCCCTTTAGTGTCCCTCTATACCAAAACCCAAAATTTCTACAAGGTAACTTTTCCTAAAGCAGACCAAGATCCCTTATAAAAAGAAAAAAGACGGTTTTACAGCTCCAGGGTCTGAGTTATGCTGCAGTAGCTGAGAACAGCGCTGAGTCTTCGTAGCCCGCTGGACCACACAACAGACCCTCCACTTTTACCCTCCTTCTCATCACGCTAAGGCTCCACAAGGGCACTGCGCCTGCATGAGAAACAGTGGGCTATGCTCCGGCCAGAGCAACAGGGCCCAGTCCCAAGGTCAAAGCAGAGAGCACAGTATGAGCAGGGCACAGCACAGCAGGCCCCTCAATGTGACCTTCTTACAGAAGAGAGCATCCTCTACACGACTGCTCAGCCCTGTAAAGTCCCCAGTCCAAGTTAGAGCTGCTTTTTTTTTTTTTTTTTTTGGCCTTTTTGAGACAGGGTCTCCTGTAGTCCTAGCTGGCTTGGAACTCACTATATACACCAGACTGGCCTGGAACTCACCGACGTCTATCTGCCTGTCTCTTCCTTCCCGAGTGCTGGGATTCAAATATTTTAAAAATATCAACTGATAGACAAGTTTTAGAACACTTACCTCTCCTCTAATTTGGGAGCTTTGGGACAAATTGTATCTAGTTCTTTTGAAGCTTCGAGCTCCTGAAATAAGCAAACACCTCCGGGTGAGAAACACTCATGACAACATGACGCAGCTCCACTGCCCCAGCACTCGCTGCCGGCCTCCTCTCAGACTGCCTTCACCCGGTTCTCCTTAGCAATGTGGACATTTACAAGAATGTGTTTCAGACTTGTACAAGACTCTGGAAAAGTGTGTTCTAGATGAAATTCCTTTACAAAGTACAGACTCTAACCTTGATTATGTCAAGTCCTCCAATGAGCTCTCCAGAAACGTAGAGCTGAGGGTAGGTGGGCCAGTTGGAGTAGGTTTTGAGCCCCTGTCGAACTTCTTCATCCGAGAAGATGTCAAAGCTGCTAAACTGAATGTTATGTTTGTGAAGAATTTCCACCATCTGTTTGCTGAAACCTGCACAAAGGAAATAAAGACGTCGGCATCTCCCTCATGCGCGCAGTTCCCGTTAATTCAGAATAGACAGTAGCTAGCACATACGCACCCTCCTCTTTCCAGTAATTTAATCAGCATAGCTGGATAGTGCATGCGTGAAGAGAAAATGAATTACAGAAAAACCCTCATTTGATCTTGGGCTTCACACACTTAGATGTATTTTAGCATAATCTTAACTGAAAGAAATGAGGTGTTATTTACCAAGGGTGCGCTTCATTAACTGTTGTGCAGGAGAGCACAGGGTGAAGCCCTCTATGGTCACCTGCCCATCAAGGGACTGACCAGATGCCTGCACAGCCCCTCCCAGTGATCCTGGAGCATCAACTCTGGGCGGAGTGGAGGCACCCTGAAGGACAGCCAGCTATTTCCAACCACTGATTGACCACAGTCCAAACCCAATGTGATTCTTGGAGTCACTGCGGCACTTCCCGGGTGCGTCTCCATCCTTACACCTCTAAGCAGGATGAATTGGAAATCAAAAAAGCATTGTCGTGCTGTCTGAAGTGGATACAGCACATTGGATCTGAAAGCTATTTTCTCTGTTGTTATACGAGCCGTCAACAGACTGATGGTGGTATTCTTTCTCATCTTACGTTGTAACTTGACAGTTTCTTCCCTAAAACTATTTACATTCCCTAAAGTATGTAATGTGAGTTTTTTAACTATACTGTGGTGACAATTTTGTGTTCCATGATTTTATTAGACTTCTGTGACACATTTTTGTTCTGTAGTTTTTTGACATCATCGTCTCACAGCATTAACACTGAAGAAAAGGGTTTGAACATCAATCTTTTACCAACCTATCAGTCCAGGCTGAAAAAAAAGGGTACTTTTTCCATAAGCCAGCTCTCAACAAGGACCCCCATCTGAACCACCTCCCCCTTTGACACTTCATCATTCTTTGCAAACATACTAATTCCCTAGAATATAACCTACTGTCCAGATTAAACCCTCTAAGATTTCCCAACATCAGCCATTATTCCAAAGTAAAATCAAATTTTAAAAAATCGAGCATAAAGTCAACTGTAGCAGGTTTTACCTGATGTCACCCCAAAATGCACCTGTTACTAAAAGGAGGATCTAGAGCTGAGCACCGAATACCCCTCAGACTACAGTCTGTGGCAAAGAGGCACTAGCATTATTTGTGTGCCACACAGCTGCTTTTTCTAAAACCCAAGTGTTAAGTTCATGTACAGCCTGGAGTAAAACACTGATTCTGAAATGTTTCCATTCATCTGGGAGTTCATTAGTAAACAGCTGAGGGCTGATTGCTGACGGTTACTCTGCTGCCAATATATTAACTCATTTCTACTGTAACTAGCTGAGGAAAAGCTTTACCTTAGCTTTAGGCAATTACATGCAGACTAGAAAGATTGATTGGTAGTGTTTCATTTTTAAGGGTTAAAGTAGCAGAATGGAAATGTTATGCTTAAGGATAAAGTAGCAATAAGGCTTTATTCTAATAACAAAATATTTATACACTCCTGAAGAAAAATGCATGCATGCAACAGAAACACTTAAAAGTTTAAAAAAAAAAATCTCATTTGCCACAAAACTCCCCATTTCTCTCTGCAACCGTGCCCATGGAAACCATGCACAACAAGCCTAGCGGCCTCACTGAAACAATCCAGTGGCAGACCCTAAGAATACTCCCATATTTGGGTTCTGCACTGAGTCTCATGGCAGGAGCCAAGTTTTAACTGAAATAACTAACCGACTCTCCAGTAACTTCAGCCTGCTCAAAGCATGAGCATTCTGTTTAGAAAGGCATCTCAGAGCTGCCAGGCACTCTTCCTCAAATCTACGTGAGGAGCACAGAACACAGATGTCACCGTCTGACAGCTGAGCCCCACCTGACACCGGGTTCCTAGGCCACCACACAATGCTGCAGGTGGGGCAGAGCTGGGGCGGCAGGGCGAGCGTGGACACTTGGCATTCAAAGCACTTGCCACTCTTGCAGAGAACCAGGGCTGTTTCCAGCACCCACAACGTGGTTCACAGCTTCTAAAACTCCAGTTTCAGAGGACCTGGTGCTCTTTCCTGGCCTCTGCGGGCACCAGGCACATGGTACAGGAATACACATGCAGACAAAATACTCATATAAATAAAAATGACTCTTTTTTAAGAGCTAGCGTAGCCTTCCCCACAGCAGATGAGGAATGGGGAGCAGAGCCATGCTTAAGGCAGAGTGCATTTGAAGGCAACTGTGACAGAGAGCAGCCTCCTGAGGTCAGGGACTTCTGTCCTCACAAGGGGCTCACCAACATCAGAGGCGGTCACTCTCTCCCAGAAAGGGCAGAGAGTGCAGAGTCTGCAGCAGTGCACGGGGAGGGAGGGCAGTCAGAGCAGGACCATGGGAGGAAGTGGGAGAGTTCATGCTTTCCAGTTGATCCCACTGGACACTGTACTCAGCACCCCGCAGTGACCCAGGTTCTGGAGGAGGAACCGAAGCATCAGGACACAGACGCTCCTGAAAAGGCGGGTAAGGATCTACGTGGTGGTGTGACCTGAGCGCCTGCCCCTCACTTCTTCTTGCTCCGAATGCTGGAGATCACCTTGTTCTTCATCTGAATGCGACAATAGTAAATGGCTCGAACTACATCACAGATTCAAAGTAAGACTAGACTCTGAAAAGAACCAAATTCACAAGACATATTTTCCCTTATATGCAGGAACCACACGTGTGTGTCTGTGTTTATATTACAGGGAATTCCACAAAACTAGAAAAGGATCCTGAGAGGGAGCAAATGCCTACTAGTGGTGAGAAGCAGAGGTGACGGAGCACAAAGGGGCTGACTGGGGGAAGGAGGATCAGCTGGGAGGAGGGGGAGGGGCCTGAGGGGGTGGTGGGGAGGGAACAGAGAGAACACAGGAGGATGACATATGATGAAATCTATCACTCTGTATGTGAACCCAAAAAGTTAATTTTTTAAAAAGACTATGCTACAGGGAGACCCTGTCTCAAAAAGAAAGAAAAAAAAAAAAAAAAAAAAAAAAGACTATGCCTATGCTTATCACTAATTTGCTTGAAAACAAAAACAAACAAAACAAAACAACCCACACGCCATCTGCACTGTAAAGCTCTCCACAACTAGCTCCACCCCCACCCGCAGCACAGTGCTCTTTGGAGGAACTGAGGCAAAGGCAGTGCCTGACTGGCGCTACTTCCTGAGCAGCGGCCCAGCCAGGATGCCAAGGGACACACTCCCCGACCCGGCTGCTTCCCTTGTAACTTAGCCCTTACCAATTTCACCTGGTTATTAAAACAGCTAAGGGACAGCTACTGTTGGATCTCCATGAGAAGAACACCGTACTAGACTGACTCTGGGTTTGCTACGTGAACGGGCTGACCCACATCTGACAGCCAGCCTACGGCACTTCACTGGAATGAAGGCAATGAAGGAAAGGCACCATGTAGTAACCCTTGTGCTACACAACATGGCACCGGAATAATTTCCACCCCTGAAAGTCAACAGGCAACAGATCCAACTCCAATAAAAACAAAATAAGGACACGCCACAGAAGACTGCCTGTCACTACCATTAGCAGTAACTCTAGGACAGGCCCCGTAAGCTTGGCAATACCTAACTAATGTGTACTATCTGACTCAGAAGATACTGCCTAGTAATTTCAGGCAGAACTAAGAGAATAAAGAATCATTTCTTTATTTATGAAACTTTTAAAAGTAGGCGGCTTCCTAAGATAATGTGTAATTTGATAACCACACAGGGAAGAACTTGGAACGCATCTCTACTGGAAGCGTGGCTATTTTTATGTCACACTGGACATGTAGTAACCACATCAATGGCATACTCAACTTTACCGCCACGTATCTTAACAAATCCCCCCTGCGTAGTTAACAAACACTCGTAGCATCTCAACAGAAGCATCAGAGGCAGCAGATGCTCAATTATACAGCTAATAATGCTGTGGGGGCACAGGAGAAAGAAAACAACATAAGCACAATACCAGGTCAGTAACTCTAAACCTTATTTAAGGGTAAACTCACAAGCATCCACACGCACACAGAGTACACGTGGCTACAAGCCAAGACAGGGGTCTCTGAACCACTAGCAGCTATCAACTGGAGGTGACAGCAAAATGCCGTCATCATACGAGAACAGGAGAGAAGGCAAAGGGCACGCAGGGCAGTCCCAGAACCCTAAGAAAAGTCCGCACACTCCTACAATCACTAACTCGGAACAGGGGAAGAGAAGGAAGCTGCCACAATAGGAAACTTCAGAGCAGGAATACCCAAGGGACTGGAAAGGTGACATGCTTAGGAGCACCTCCTGCATCATCAGGAGGACTGAAATGTGGATTACAGCACCCACATAACAAGCTGAGCAAACTAGGCTGCTTGTATCCCCAGCTCCGAGGACGGACAGAAGGCTGGGGGCTCGAGAGCCTCATGTCCAGAGACTGTGCCTCAAAGGAACAAGTGGAAAGGGACAGCACACCTGACGCCCTCTTCTGGCATGCACACTCAGACAAACTAACATCTTCAGGAGCTGGAAAAGGGCTCAGCAATAAAGAGCACTTGTTGTTCCTACAGACGACCAAGTCTGGCTCCCAGCACCCACATCAGCAGTTCACAACCGCCTATAACTCAAGCTCCAGGGAATCTGATGTCTTCTTCAGGTGAGAGCACGCACACGCACACGCACACGCACACGCACACTCACAGAGTAAAAATGAATCTTAAAAAAGCCCTACACCAGCAAAAGGCTCATTAGCAGAGATAGCAACTCAAAGCTGGAACCTAACCCCAACACTGATACAAGGTGACTGAGCTCAGCTTCGGGAACTCAGACAGGAAAGAGCCCGAATCAGGTGATTTCCAAAGAGCCCATTTGGTTCCCATGTTTTCCAAGTATACACAGAGCACACAGACTGTCACCACTGGGAACTATGACTTGCTGAGTCCACCCACCCACCCACAGGTGAACACAGGCATACAGTATACTTCAGCACGGAAAGGGCATGTACATCGCAACAGCACCTAGGGTAGCAAAGGCCCTCTGTTCACATCCTTTCAGGAGCAGCTTCTTACCACAGCGTGGTTCTTGAGGCGTTCCCTTCATGAACAGCATGCAGGGGGCGGCATGAGTTAACTTCTTCAGGCGGAGGTTGAGATCTTCAAGATGTTCACTAGCACTGGGTGGGAAGGAGCCGCTAGACACATGGCGCTTAACTTTTTTGGTCAACTCTGGGGCGTGGGCACCATCTAACTGGTCGATTTTCTGAGAATTCTGAAGTTTAAAATGTCATTTAGAATACATAAGGCATTCCTTCACCATCTGTATTTTAGACTCTACTATCATAAACACAGTTGCAAAGGCGTCCGCACTGTTACTGAGGAGGAGACTGGTGCCAGCTGCCTGTACTGCTTCTCACCTCAGAAACACAAACAGCCATGTCTCAAAGAAAACCAGGTGTGTCTCCCACACCAGCGTGGGTGGAGCTACTGAGCATAAACAGGGCTCTGGGGAACTGGGATGAAGCCCATAGGAACCCAGAAGCACAGATATGCATTTGCTTTCTAGAAGAGTCATTAACTATCAGAACCAGCCTGATGTTTCCTAATACACAGGTACATGCCCTAAGCGGGGCCCTCTGACCCGGTCAGGAGCACGGCCTCCAGAGCCCCAAGTCTGGATCAGGAAGCTCCATTTCTGGCTGTAGGCATCTGCCGCCCATGGCAACAACTGACAGGGTCCTCGTCCTCAGCATCAGTGCCAACAGGGAACTACCCGAAAGAGGTGCAAGGCCAGGAGAAACCAACACCTTATGTTCAGGGATTAAGTAAGAAAAGATAAAAAGAACCAAATAGTCCCACAGCCCCCAGCAGCCCCCAGCCCCGCCCCCAGCAGTCCAGTCTCTTGGACTCTTTTACCTTGAAGAACAGGAAGGTGGGGACAGAACAGATTTCGTACTCTTCAGATACTTCAGGGACAGCTTCAGCTTCCAACTTTAAAATAGAAGAAGTCAAGCTTATTACCAGGTTCTTCTACTTTGGTTATGTAAATCAGTTTCACATGCATTGCCCTTCAAGTAGCTGGTATTTCTAAAGGCTATACCACAGAGTTTATGACACATTTACATTTAAATGAGACTCACTGGGCTGGCATGTCATCCCCGAGTCTGCAGTGTCAAAACAGGTTCAGAGGTTTTTATTTTGTTGCACATTTCAAAAGATGCCTGGAGGCTGTGAATAAAGTTTTTGGTGCACTAGTGACCTAGTACATTTTCAATCACATGCAGCTTCTACTATATTGAAATCCATAAATCACTGACCCCAGTTATGTCGTGATTACAGTGCTTATTTTCTGCCCACAGCAGATCTTGCTGTTTGCTCTATTGACTGATTTCGAGAGGCAGTACATCATGACTGACAGTTGCAGCTTTCTGCAAATTATGAAGCAAAAAGGAGTATTTCTTCAATAAACTATTGATGTCTGATAAATTTTACTTTTAACCCCTGGGTGGCTGCTGGACACTCAGCGAACAGCCTACTAGGTGCCTTGCTTCCCGATCTCTTCAAACACGTAAACTCGCTGAATGAGTGTCCTCGGTCTGATCACCTCCTTGACGCTCACCAACAGGTATGATGTGATGTCTGGCACATGGGTTTCAAAGACATTTAGAAACACAATTTCTAAATAATTAGAACACAATTACTATAAGCTATTTATGTAGGTCTTTATAAATATACTTTGAGGAAAAGCAAAGGTATATTTCTCTCTCAGGACTGTCAATTTAATATAAACTTTCTGAAACCAATAAAGACCTGTATTTACATTATACCTATAGGAAATAAAGCTTATTGATAAGTTATATTGTTAAATGTGTTTAAATATATAGTTACTGAATTTCTTCAAGAGTGAAAGATGTCCATTGAGCTTGAAATGTGATTTTCTGTGTGCTTTGCCCAGGCGGGTGGCCTGTGCTGGGGTGCAGCCTGCTGATCTACAGCAGGGATGTCTGCAGCCACCTGTCTGAGGCTTTTCAGTGCTGTTTTCCTGCCTTACCTCGACTCCAGCAGACTTGTAATATTTTTATATCACCTTTTGTACTAATGCTTTAAATTATTTCCACTTTTGTAAGGTACTTTGTGATAACACCTTAAATCTTAAATTAGCAACAGCTGTCTTCTCATGTAAAAAGGACAAAATATTCTGATACAAATATTTAGAACAGACTAAAGTTTTAGAAATGTCTGTGCAATTTTCCTTCACGTGCTCAATCCCATACTCACAAGCAGTCAGGAGCGCACAGGTATGCCCAACGTCACCTGCCAGCTCATTCTCTAGCTGATATCAGATCGCCCACTACATGCTGAGTCCTGCTCAGGAAGGATCCTCACCTTCCGTGCAACAGGTTAAGATAAACCCCCAAACAAGTAATATTAAAGAGAAACAGGTTCTCGAACCAGAACAAAATTAGTATCCTAACTCAGAAACACATACACAGATGCTCCTGAAATCAGGTCCTTCTATCATTCCCGAGGGGCTCCTACTCAGAAGGGTCCCTTACTGACCTCCTCAGAAGCAAAGGACCCTTGAGATTCCTGTTGAAACCTGAGGATTGCAACAAGGGCCTGCCATCACATCAGAGGACATTCCAACCACGAAGGCAATAGTAACGGAGGAAGCATCCAGAAAGGGGGCAGAGTTCCCCCAAAGGCACAACAGTCCAAGAGTCCCAGAGCCTTTGCAGAGCTGGGGCAAGGCTCAGAGCCTGGTCTCGCTACACCTGTGGTCCTGGGTACACTCCCTAGCTCCGCAAAGAGAAAGCTTTCAAAATACTGATCAAATACAGTGTTAGTTTTAGCAATGATAATAGGAAATATTTTTAAATGGCTGAACTTGGAAGGGCTCAAAGATAACCAATGATAGCTCCTTTCATGACCTAACTGCCCACCCCAAACTCTAACCCTTCCATGAACTCCCTAGACTACCCACTTCCATCTGTGAAGGGGCAGCTCAAATTCTAGTCCCTTCCCATGTGCCTGGGGAGCCGTGAGAAGGGCAGAACAGAGCGAGGGCCCGGTTCTACTTTGGTTTAGCAAGGTCATGGCAGGATAAACGTGGCTCACAGCTGAGACAGCTCTGAGAGATAGCTTATGTCTGTGTCCCCTATACTGACTCACTTAATACTGGCAGTCACAGGCCCTGCCATCAGAGCCCTTTTACATAACCAACTGAACATTTAGAAACTAAGTGGTGTGAATGTGTGTATCCTTATCAGATCTTGCCAGGTATGGTGCTTTAATCCCAGCACCCAGGAGGCAGAGAGAGTTGGATCTCTTTGAGTTCAAGGCCAGCTTGGGGCTACAAGGAGACCTTATCTCAAAAAGACCAAAACTCAATCAATCAACCAATAGTTAATGGTTCCTATTTTTTAGGAAGTAAACAATAGGGACTTGGGTGTAACTTAGCAGCTGTGAGTACAATACCCTGCACCACAGAAGAGGGGCAGGGAATGCAAACAACTGAAGCGTGGGGCTGAAGAGATGGTTCGGCGGTTAAGAACACTGGCTGCTGTGGCAGAAGACTCAGGTTCGGTTCCCAGCACCCACATGGCAGCTCAACTCCAGGTCCAAGGGATCTGACACCCTCTCCTGGTTCCATGAGCAATGCACACATGTGGTGTACTTATACATGTGGTACACTTACACATGTAGGCAACACTCATAGCATAAAACATATAAATAAATAGTTTAAGCTTATTTTAAAAAACAGAAACGTAAGTTTGCAAATCCCACAAACATTCTGCAGCAACAGCAGCTACTGCACAGCAAACACACCCACATGAAGGACAGCAGCACACATTTCACTAGCCAACCAACTGCTAGGTTACAGTTCTGAGAAATTTTATACCAAAGGGCATTGCCTATTGTGATGGTCAGTGTTAACTGGCAACTTGACAAAAGTTAGAAGCACCCGGGTGATGGGCTTCTGGGCATGGAGGGGGCACGCTAGCTTGACCACTGGTGAAGTTGGAAGACACCCACTGTGGGTGGCAGCACTCCCTAGGTGGGAATCCTGGGCTGTACACATGTGAGGTGGGGGGCCCAGGCTCCTACCCCGTGACTTTCCCCCACAACTGACTGTACCTGGAACTGTTCTGAAGCACTCAACTTCCTCACCATTCACAAAACCTCAGATAATTCTCCCTCCTTCCCGCCTTCTCTTACAAACATCATATTCTGAAAGAGTCTACCAAATAATTAATTAGCAAATATGTATTCCCACTGGACCTTGGTGCATCGAGAAAGCTGAGGCAAGATCATCATGAGTACACCTTCCCACCCCCCACCCCCCAACCCCTCCCATCAAAAAAGTACACTTCCTCTTTGGGTGAGGAACAGTTCACTATACAATCTGAAAGGAAAAAGACCTAACATTTTAATTAGCTATTCAACTGTTCTGAAGAAGGTCTTGGCATTGAATAACAGAAACCTGCAAAGCCTTTGGAGATGGAAAGGCCTCCAGGGGGCCCACATCTTGATGCAGCTCAGCTGCTCAGCCCTACCACCTGTTCTAGGTGTGGCTCCCAGAACACCATGCGCTTCACAGTTGTCACCAAGTCAGGAACAGGGGACTCAGCTGTAGTAAATGTGAGGGTCGCATGCCACTCAGCATTCGATCCCAATGAAAGTAAAATCAGCTACTCTGACCAGAAATGCAAGACTAATTTGTCTAAGGCAATATCACCAACTCACACAAATAAGAGTATGTTGGTAGTGATAATGTTTAAAATACCTAAGATCACCTACTGGGTCAGGGGTATGGCTCAGGGGGGTAGACTGCTTGCTGAGTCCATCCCCAGCACCAAATAAACAGGACAGGGCACCACCTGCAATCCATCACTCAATTGTGACAGGGCGGCAAGAGGATCAAAATTTCAAGGTCATCAATGACTACATCCATGACCACATGGTAAATTCCAAGCCAGTCTAGCATACATAAGACCCTGCTTCAAAAATAATAGCAATTTATTTACTTTGTATGCTAACCAAAAACTGTTTTTAAAAAAATCACTCATTCAAATGACTTTGTGAGTCTATGACAAAAACTGAATTAATCTCTTTCCTTTATAGTCAAAAGTACGAAACCAATGCATCCTTCTTTTAAAAAGCAAGTACAGGCCGGGCATGGTGGCACACGCCTTTAATCCCAGCACCTAGGGAGGCAGAGGCAGGCGGATCTCTGTGAGTTCAAGCCCAGTCTGGTCTACATAGTGAGTTCCAGGACAGCTGGGGCTACAGGGAGACCCTGGCTCAAAAAAAAAAAAAAAAAAAAAGCAAATACAAGTGGGTGAGTGGGTAAGGCTGTGCATATCTGATGTCCCAGCCACTCAGGAGGCTGAGGCAGAAGGCTTGAGCCCAGCCAGGAGTCTGAGATCAGCCTAGGCAACATGAGACCCTGTCTCAAAAAAAAAGATACATATGGGGTGGCACGTTAGCTTCACTCTAAAAACTTCAAGAAGCCCAATTAACAAAAAAAAAAACGAGTTTAAAATGAACCAGATGACGACAGAAAAGACTTCTCAGATATTCTACTTGTCACTCCATAAGCTCCTTTAATTACCCAACTTACAAACGTCCTGCAGACTAGTCTAACCCTGCCAGTGTCTCCAAAGAGGGAACTCAGGAATCCAGCACTGCTGCGGCCCTGAGCAGCAGGTACAGTCAGGCTCAGGTGTCCCTGACACGGCCACAGCACTGTGTGCTCTTGGCTCACTGAGACACTTAAGCACCTGAACACCTTAAAACCTCGCTGCCAAGTCTGGTACCAATGTGAGAAGTAATGCTACAGCCACATTAATAAATCATTCAGATGGCAGATGAGAACAGTGAGTGCGTTACCTACACCAGTAACACTATCCACATGGAAGCAGACATGGGACAATTACCATGATGCTGACTAATCCTATGATTGAAATGTTTAATCATTCATTTCACTTGTAGTCATTATCTTTTATCACTGACCAAACATGCAGTTTTAATGTCCCCTTCTATTATTTATATTGGACATTTTAGGGTTACCTTCGAAGGTTACATTACGCATTCATCTGAATTTTAAGTAAGCCCTTAAAATTTAAAAAGCTAACTAGTATGTTCAGATCTGCTCCGTCTGCATAAAGAAATGCTGGAGGAATTCATACAGAATTAATACAGGTAGTTACTTGTGGTGAGGAACAAAGGGGCTGGCAGGAGGACGTGGGGTGAGCACTTTCTCCACCGCCTGGCATTCTGAGGCAGCGGAATTCCACACCTGTTCAAAGCAGACAGCAGTAGGGTGGCTGTCTGAAAACATCACCTATACAAAGGAGCTGAGCAGCTAGGTCAGAATTCGGACCTGCAGACACACAATGCTTCTGTTTTCTAATCTCACACATGGATCCACTCCTCAAAACGTACTCTAAAATCAAAATCTGTGCCTTTAAAAATCAAGGCTTTGGAGCCAGACATAGTGACACATGCCTTTAATCCCAGGAGGCCAAGGCAAGCTGTTCTGTGAGTTCCAAGGCCAGCTGGGGCTACAGTGTCTCAAAAAAGCACACCCCCCAAAAAAACAAAACAAATCAAAAACACCACCAAGGCTTAGGTTTGGGTTTTGGATCCCTAGGATCCAATTGGAGCATGGAGGTACAAGCCTCTAACCCCAGCACTTGGGAGGCCAGAGGACTGAGAGCCCAAGCTAAACAGTGAGACCAGATCTCAATGTAAATAAGCAAACTCCTAAGGATTAAGACTTGTGACTATTGAGCTGGACAGATGGTTCAGTGGCTAAGAGCACTGACTGCTCTTGCAGAGGACCCAGATTTAATTCCCAGCACCCACATGTCGGCTACGAACCATCCTTAACTCTAGTGCCAGGGGAATTCAACAACCTCTTATGACCTCCGAGGCACAGCGTGACACAGGTGCACTCACATACATGCAGGAAATATACTCATACACATAAAATAAAAAAAAACAAAGTAAAATAAAATAAGAAGACTTGCGAATAAAAATTTTTCTCAACATGTATTTCAGCTTTTTTGCCTAGACCCAGTATTACAGCTCAGATGATTTGACTCAATGATTAACACTACGTGTGTTAACCTTAGTTACAGCCAATTTCCTAGAACTCATCCACTCAGGAGACACCAGGAATGTAGGAGCAGCAAAACCCAAGCACAGGGGTTGGGAGCTCAGTGGCATGCAGGAGGCCTTGGGTTCAAATGCTGGAACCAAACAATAAAAATAGAGGAAGGGAGGGGCTTCCTTCTGCACCCTGAGCAAGTTAAAAATAGTTCACATTTCCTCCCATTTACCCAGTCCAAGACACCAATGTCTCACTATCTCCCTGGGCACAGCAGCCTGTATACAATATGCTTTCTAGAACCATTTTCAAAACCATAGCTAGCTTTTCAATAAAGTCTTAATTATTTGAACTACCTAAAAACCAAAATTATCAGGGCTAGAGAGAGGGCTCAGCAGTTAAAAACACTGGCTGCTCTTGCAGAGGACTGGGTTTGATTCCCAGCACCTGCACGGTGACTGACGCCCATCCGTACCTCCAATTCCAGGGGATCCTTCTTCTGGCTGCCTTGGGCACCGTACAATACAGATGCACTTACACATGCAGGCAGTATACTCACACACACAAAATAAAACATTTTAAAAATTATCCAGTGAATTATCTGGTCAACTCTGGCTGTCAGACACTTCTGCCCTCTGTGCAATCAGCAGTGATTGCCTCACCACATGAGACAGGCAAAGTTAGGAGACTTGTAAGGCTAAGCTACTGCCAACACAGCGGAGCTCACACTGGCTTCCTTTACATTATAAAATCTAGTCTAAATCAAGTCAGAAATTAATACAAGACACAAGACCCCAAACAGTACCTTCACAAATGAAACCTGCGGGTGTTCTTTGGCTAACTCCGCCATGACGTCGTTCATCTGTGTGCACTGTGGAGCCCATGGTGCCCAGAAATGGACCACAAGGAGGCACCTGCAAATCAACAAGATGCACTTTTTAGATTACAGTAACCTTGGACACAAGCAAATACTGACTGACACAGACAAAATTCCCCTACCAAGGAAACGTTCAGAAGTGCCTGGGCTCCTCTGCGCTGGTAGAACATGGCTGTGCTGGGGACAGAACACTGCCGCTCTGACTTCCTTGGGGTGAACATTCAGGTTGGTGGTATCTCAAGTCTACATTCGGCGCAGACATGTTTCTGATTGCCCATCCATCTCAACTAACTGAATAAATTATATCTCAGGCCCTCGATGAAAGTGGAAACCAAGTTTCTGTACAAGCAAGATGCTCTTGAAAATCAGCTGGGACGTAGGATTGGTATGGACATCACATGGTGCTGTGACAAAGGGCGTGACTGTGACCACAGGAAGAGCAAAAACAACCCTGAGAAAAAGAATGCAAGGAAACAAGGATGGAGCCGCTCTTTACAGACTCGCCCCTGTACTCCGTGTGAGGCCGTGATGATATTCCGAACACTAGTGCGAACAGACAGAACATGGACTGATAAATTATCGACTGACTTCTTACACATCTCAATGTGAACCAGTCCTGTTTTCATATACAACTATCTTCACAAAGACAACTTCAAACCCACCTTACATTCAACTGAAACTCAATTTTACAGAATTCCAAATGCAAATAAAATCCCCCTCCAAAAGGGGGGGGATCAAAAAGATGTGTTACGTAGAGAAAAGCAAAGATATTCATCTATGGGTAAGGAAGGGAATACAAAATGATAAAGGGGTTGGAAAGCTGGCTCAGCAGTTACGAGGGCTTGCTGCTCTATCAGGAGAACCAGAGTTCAAATCCCGACACCCATGTTGCACAGCTCATGGCCTGTAACTCAAGCTCCAAGGGATCCAATGCCTTGCTCTGACCTCCATGGACACCCACACACACAAACACAAGCATGTACACTCATACACAGACATAAAGAAATAAAATAATAACCTTAGCCGGGTATGGTGGCACACACCTTTAATCCCAGCACTGAGGAGGCAGAGGCAGACAGATCTCTGAGTTCCAGGCCAGCCTGGTCTATATAACAAGTTCCAGGTCAGCTGGGGCTACAGGAAGACCCTGTCTCAAAAAGACAAAAAAAAAAAAAAAAAAAAAAAAAAAAAAGGAAAGAAAACAATAAGGCAGTACAACAACACAAACAGGCGTGGAATCTAGGAGAGGGTCACCGGCAGAAGGCAGAATCTGGCAGCAGACCACAGCCTAAGGCTCCTCCAGGTCCTGATATGGACACTGACAGCATGTGTCGGGCTGCCTGAGAGGAAAGGACATCGTCTACTGGGTGTCAGCACAGGGCTCAAGCTCAGGGAGAATTTCTGAGTGTGAGCTACATACAGATGTGGGAACCAAGAAAGCAAAGCTGAGCTGGGCATGGTGGCACACGCCTCTAATCCGAGCACTTGGGAGGCGGAGGCGGAGGCAGAAGCAGGCGGATCTCTGTACATTCTAGGTCAGCTGGGGCTACAGGGAAACCGTGTAGAGAGAGAAAGATGGGAGTGAGGGGAAGGGAGGGAGAGGGAGGGAAGGGGGAGGGAGAGAGAGGTAGAGACCACACCATGTCCACCATGTTGCAGAAGTGACAAGAGATCAGAGGTCAGCGTCTCTGGGTCAAACCAGATGAAGGAAAAGGATGGAAAGGGGCCTAGGAGGTGTAAGAAGTCAAGAGTCTCACAGAAGTCAAGAGGAGAGAGGCTGGCAACTACAATGCATCTACAAAGGGTAACTCATAGGGTGAGTGATACCAATGGCTAAAGGAAGCAGGCACCCAGCGGAGATCCGCTGCAGAAGATGTGTTCTGCACAGAAGACTGCCAGCACAGAGGGATCAACTTCACGACAGCTCAGAAAACCTCCAGATGCTAGCTCTGCGCAGGGCCAATGCGGAGGGAGATGCTGAAAATCAGAGGCAGCTGAGGGTCAAGGTCTCTAAGGAGACAGGAAAGGGAGCTTGAGCAGAGGCCCGAGGTCCTCCACGTCAGAAGCCAAGGAATGAAGATCAGATCAAGTATGAGAAGCAGTGTGGGGAGAACTTGGTCAGAAGGCACCTCAAGTCCTGCATCCCTCAAGTACACAGCTAGGCTGTTAGCCCACGCAGCAACTCAAGCCCAGGGTGGCCTGCAGGCTTGTAATCCCAACCCCTGGAGGAGGAAGCAGAGCCCGAGGAGCTCAAGCCTGGACTAGTAAAATGATCTCAAAGAGAGAGGGGGGCTGGTTAGGGCTGGTGGAGGCCCGCACAAAAGTAGGAAGCTCTAAACCAAGGCCGGCTAAGGCAGGTAAGGACACACACACTGCAGGTGGGTAACAATGTGCATCCCACAGATCTCAGCCGCTTAGGAGTGGTGAGCGGCTGGGCCGAGGTCACAGTAGACCAAGGTCACGGCAGACTGAGGTCACAGCAGACCGAGCTAACAGGGTGCGTGAAGAACCTCGGCCACACTGCGGCTACCTAACCTGACCGGTTACGACAAGACGGCCATCTTTTACAGGGGGCTTTTATGTGGCGAGCACATGCGGAGAAGACACTGCACTAGCTCCCAGGCCTGCACTATTCCTGAGTAGAGAGCCTACCACACACAACTGAAATCCACTCAGAGGGCAGCAGGAGCAGGCCAGGCCACCAACTCAGGATGGCCTTAGGCAAACAAACTGCTGGAAAAACTAGATCCCAAAGATCTTGGGTGGAGAGTCTGGAAAGTGCACAGCTGTGTCCACAATTAAAATGAAGATGCACAGCCAAGCACGGTGGGAAGTCCGGACTAGCTTTGGGGACTAGTGGCCTTGCTGAGCAGTGGAAAGAAGCACTCAGATGCAGTTCCTTGAATAAAAATGTACTAGCAAGCAAGGCAGGAGATGTACTAGTTACCTGTCTGGTTGTGGACAAAACACCTGAGGAAAATAACTTCCGGAAGGACTTCCTTGGCTCACAGTCCAGGGTACAGTCCACTGTGGCAAGGAAGTCCGGGTGGTGCTGAGGCGGCTGGTCACACTGCAGTCAGGAAGCGGGAGCCAGGAATGCTGGTGCTCAGCTGGCTTTTCATTAGGCTGGGCCCCCGGAGCGGGACTGCGCACCCCAATTTGCCTAACCTAGATGATTCCTTACAGAACCTCCCACAGGCAGGTCTAGTGAGGCTAGCTCTGGTCAAGCTGGAAATCAGTAGGAACTTCCACAGGAGGGAAAGAGAAGGAAGAGAGGAATGGAATGGAGTGGGCAGGAACCTATGCAACCACAGGGAAAGCCTGGCCCTCAGAGAGAAGGTGGGGGAGGGGCTCCAGAGCTTCCTGGGAGTCCAGTTCTTGTTTGAAATGTAGATGCCGTGCACAACAGACATCTGGGGTTAAAACCTCTGCACCTTACAGCTGGGATTCTTCAAGGGTTGTTTTTGTTTTAGGTCTGGCTTTCTGTTTTGTTCTGGACAGGCCTGGAAAGGCTATGTACACCATCTCTGCCTGCCTCTGCCTCCAAAGGTGTGACCCCCTCACCTGGCAACGTTTCAGTTATCAGGATTTTTAAAATGAGAAAAAGGAGGTGAAAGAAATACCTTCATATCCTGTTGGGAAAATTTAAAACCGAGACTTTTTAGAACTCCCATAGAATTTAAAAGGCTTATGAATATCACAAGTATCTTCCAATTAGTTTACAGAAGATAAATGGAGAAAATCCATTATCAACTAATACCTTGTTAAATGGCCATAACAAAATATTCAAAAATATTTAACATTAAAATATTTAAAGCCATTAAAAATCAAATTTGCAAGGAATTTTTAGCAACATGGGAAAATGTTGACAATATTAATTTTTTTAATTACAATAGATGGATAAAAAAGGTTGGTGGTAGAGCACTTGCATAGCATTCCTGAGGCCCTGGGTTCAATACTAAAGCAGGTCACCAGGCTCTGTAACAGTATAAGTGTGACAAAAAGGGAAAGAGCCGGCTGGGTGTGGTGATGCCCACCCACCCGCTGCCATACCAGCACTGAGGGGTCAGGAGTTCAAGGTCATACGGAATTCTGCCTCTGCCTCAAAGAAAGAGGAGTGTGCACAGAGCCTGTTCTGTTCTTTTGCCTCGAACAAGGCTTTGGACATCTCTGAACTCCCACATCTATAACCAGCAGTAACTAGCATCCTAGATGCTGAAGAGCAAACAAGCCAGTGCTTTGATCACAACATGGCGGTACTGTTATTTTTACTGTCCAAAATTCTGGGACTTAGATACCTCACTATTTTCTAAGCATGAAATACCCAACATTCTAAGGACACGCACCTCACAGAGGACACACATTCTCTTTTCGATGTCATAAGGTCAGGCCAATATGCTTAATGCACTGTTTGAGACAGTATTTCTAGAAATAGCAGGTTGAAAACCTCACTGACAAGACTCCTCCACCCCCAGCATTAGTGTTCAAACCCAGAGCCTTGAACACGCGAGGCAAGCACCAGGTATCACTGAGCTACAGTGCATCCCCAGCACTCAGATGCAGGCAGAAAAATCACTGTTTTCAGCGGTAATTAGTGCACAATAAACACTTGTTGCTCTGCTGCAGGATGTTCAACTGCTCATGACTCATCTCACATTAAGCTTCCATTTTCTCAACTCTGTCATAGTCTAGACTCTTCTTTACAAATAGGCCAACCCTCTTGAATTACTCAACAAGTGGTATTTGTACCCTCACCTTACCAGCTAGAAGCAATGACTTGGAAAGGAGCTTGAAAATGATTGCAGCAACACAGAGCACTGCTTTTTAAATTTTCGCTTTGTCTTGTTTTGGGTCTCTCTGTAGCCCCAGCAGGACAGAAACTCCCTTAGACCAGGCAGCAGAGATACCCCCACCCGCACCCGCCTCCCAAATTCTGGGATTAAAGGTATGTGCCAGCCACCACGCCCGGCAGTTTGTCTTTTCTTTTTTCTTTGAAACTGAGTGTGTACCACCAAGTCCTGCTACTTAACATCTTTAAGTGCTTCCCTGATCACAAAAAGCAGCAGATGGGCTCCTAACCCACTGGTCAGACAGCATTTCCCAAGCTGCCATTTAGACTAGACAGTGCAATCAGGAACACCATCTTCTGACCAGGAGTAAGAATACAGAAAAGTGGCTTGGAATTATTTCATTCGTTTTGAGGGGAAAGGCGGAAGGGTGGCGGGGGTTTTTTGTTTTGAACAGGGTCTCCCTAGTCCCAGTCTGCCTGGAACTCACTATGTAGACCAGTCTAACCTCCAGCTCATAGAAATTTGCCTGCCTCTGCTTCTAGAGTGCTGGGATTAAAGATGTGCATCACCTCGCCCTGTGTTTTTTGGTTGGCTGATTTTTTTAAGCAGAGTCCCAGGGTAGCTCCCGCAAGCCTGGAACTCACTAAGCAGACCAGGCTGGCCTCTAACTTGCTGAGAAAATGGTATTTACATTTAAACATTTACCCATTAAGAACTGTTTAAACCATGAAGCCTAAAAGTAAGTTTGACAGGAGTAGAGGCACACCCCTTTAATCCCAGTAGCGAGTGGCGGTAGAGGCAGGCAGGTCTCTACTTAGTGCGTTCCAGGCAGCTGGGGCTACAGCCTGAGATCCAGGCTCAGGAAAGTCAATTCGTGGACCACACAGACACAGGCGACGCTCCTCAGATGAGGAGAGTGCAGAGGTTCAGGGGCAGGCCTCTGCAAGTAGAGATCATGCCCCGAGGCCACCTCCACCATCCCTCTGCCTTCAGAATAAAGTCCGGTGGATCCGAACCCAACTTTTGTCATTTCCCGCTCCCAGAGCACCCAAGTTCCATTCCTGGCACCCACATGATGCTAACTCCAGTTCAGGGGACCGCACACCCTCCTGGCCTCTGCAGACACTGCACGCACATGGTGCGCTTACACACACATGCAGGCAACACATTCATACACATAAAATACAAATAAGCCACCCCCACCGCGGGACTCCAAAAGGAGACGTTTGAAGAGCACTTGAACCCCGCCTTCATCAGCAAGAACTCAGAACCTCCGAGCCAGCACCCGACGAGGTGCAGGAGCACCCGGGAGGACGGGAGGGAGCAGCGGTGCCGGGTGGACGCGGCCGACCACGCCTGCAGCACCCAGCTAGCCCCGGCTAAGCGGCATTCCCGCGCACGCGCACCCGGTGTCCTCTCGGGTCCGCCCGCGCTGACCCCGCCGGGGCCCGGTCCTCGGGGCCGCACCCGGACGAGCACGCGCTGGACTCAGGCCGCCCGCGAACCGGGCTCCGCTCAGGACCCGCCACACCCGGACCTGGATCCGCATTCGGATCCCGCCGCGCGGCCGGAGACTGGAGACGCCGTTGGGCCGCGCCCGGTCCGCGAGCTCCGAAGGACGCCGCCCGCCGCCCGCCGCCCCGGCCCCAGTCCCCGCCACCCCGCGTACTTGGCTTTGAGGCGCAGCAGCTCCTCAAACTGCCCGGCGGAACCGACCTCCACCACCGCCGCGGCCGCCTCAGCCGCCCCCGCCGCCATGCTGCCGCCGCCAGACGTGACCAGTCGAACGCCGGGAGCTCGATGGGGCGGGGCGAGTGAGCTAGGAGGCTGCGCGCAGAGAAGCCAGGCCCCCAGGCCCGCGCCTGCGCTGTAGGGCACCGCCGCCAACAGGCGGAATCCCCCCAGTCCGGTCCGCCCGGCTAGGTGTCCGTCCGACCGGCCGGCTAGGTGCCTGCATGTCCGGCTAGGTGCCCGCCCTCCCGGCTAGGTGCCCGCCCTCCCCGCTAGGTGCCCGTCCTCCCGGCTAGGTGCCCGCCCTCCCCGCTAGGTGCCCGTCCTCCCGGCTAGGTGCCCGCCCTCCCGGCTAGGTGCCCGCCCTCCCGGCTAGGTGCCCGTCCTCCCGGCTAGGTGCCCGCATGCCCGGGTGTACGCCCGCCTTCCCGGCTAGGTGCCTGCATGTCCGGCTAGGTGCCTGCATGCCCGGGTGTACGCTCGTCCTCCCGCCTAGGTGCCCGCCCTCCCGGCTAGATGCCTGCATGTCCGGCTAGGTGCCCGTCCTTCCGGCTAGGTGCCTGCATGCCCGGGTGTACGCCCGCCTTCCCGGCTAGGTGCCTGCATGTCCGGCTAGGTGCCCGCCCTCCCGGCTAGGTGCCTGCATGTCCGGCTAGGTGCCTGCATGTCCGGCTAGGTGCCCGCCCTCCCGGCTAGGTGCCTACATGCCTGGCTAGGTGCCTACATGCACAGCTAGGTGCCTGCCCTGCGACACCCCCCACACACACCCGGCAGTCCTTCGGGCCTAGCGGCCTTCCCTGGGGCTCATAAACCTTCTGGGTCCAGGCCACCATGGTCTGCAATAGCAACGGGTGTGTCTTGCAAGTCTGGGTGAAGTCAGACTTAACACTGCAATCCGAATCCATTAACTGCATACTGGAATGATGAAGTCTGAGAATAAGGGACTACTAGCAGTGTCTAAACCCCAGCCCTGACTGAGGGATCTGAACCACGCCCCTAGTGCCCAGCCCTGTGTATACCTTATCGTTGGAGTGCCACCCTGAGGAGTACAGGGCTGACGGTGAGGTCCAGACTTAGACCAAAGACCAGCTAAAACCCCTCTGCCACCTGGTGCAGATACGGAGGTGCTCCAGGGTGCCTGAAAAGCAACTCCAGGCACATAACCCTGGTGCAGACTTAAGCTTCTAAGGAGACATGCAACACATGAAGCTGTGTGTAGAATTCTAAGCTACAGATAATGCATGCACAGAAAAGCCCTTGCTATGCAAAGGCCCCTCGGCTGCGGTGCTGGCTCTCTGCTCCAGCCTGCTTCCTCTTAGTTCTGTCTTTACATCTGCTCCCACTGTTGGGCCTCTACTCAGTTCTTTGTCCAGGAATACAGGAACCTCAAACCCCACTGAAGCCGGATGTAAACTCCTCAATGCAGCCTGTTACCCGTTGTGGCCTTGGTGTGGCAAGGCCTGGGGGTAACATTGCCTCTAGGCACCACCAGGCCTCCCTCTGGGGCTCCTGCACCCTCCCACTCAGGCCCTGCCTCCTGCCCTTCCTACTTCCTGCTTTCCCTGCCTTTTGCAAAACCGGCTTCCCTGTCCCCCAGCAGGTGGTGCCTTCCACACACCCTTTCTCATGCCTCCCAGCCGGTCTCTGGCCTGGGTACCTCTGCTACACCTCTGGGTTCTTCACTCTTCAATAACACCTCAACAGCAAACTCAGGTCCCTTCTTCCCTGCCCTCCAGAGCCCAGCATCCATCTAGATGTCTGGATGTGGTGCACTTAACATACATGCAGGCAAAATTATGTGTATCTGTTTCGCCTGCATGTGTTTATGTTAAGTGCACCCTGGTCATGCAAGGCCCACCAAGGCCAGTTGAGGGCATCAGATCCCCTGGCACTAGAGGCCACCATGTGGGTGCTGGGAACCAAACTAGGGTCTCCTACAAGAGCAGCCAGTGCTCTTAAGTGCTAAGCCATCTCTCCAGTCCTAAATAAATCTTATTATTTTTTTAATTTTTGATTTTGGTCTTTTTGAGACAGGGTCTCCCTGTAGCCCCAGCTGGCCTAGAACTTGCTATGTAAATCAGGCTGGCCTGAAACTCACAGAGATCCACCTGCCTCTTGCCTCCCAAGGGCTGGGATTAAAGGTGTGTGCCACCATGCCTGGCTTAAATCTATTTTTGTTTTGTTTGTTTGTTTGTTTGTTAAGATAATATAGAAACAAAACCACAGATGTTCCAGTAAAGACAAAGAAATCTGAAAAAGACTGCGGGTTACACATGGATGTTAACATCCTGGTTGTAATACTGCATTCCATGTTTACAAGCCGTTACTGTTGGGAGAAGCACACAGAATATATCACTTTTTTTTCCTTTCTTTTTTGAGAAAAGCTCTCATGTAGCCCAGACAGACTCAGAACTCACTGTGTAGCCGACGCTGGTCTCGAATCCCTGACCCCTTTGCTTCCACCTCCCCAAATGCTGGCATTACAAGTATGTGCCTCGAAGCCCGATTGATAATAAATTTGCTGTTGTTTGAGATACTTCTCAAGTAGCCCAGGCTGGCCTCCAATTCGCTATGTAGCCAGTATTCACCTTACTCTCCTGACCCTCCTGCCTCTACCTCCCAAATCCTGGGATGTACACCCCCAGGCCCAGCATTTTTCTTTTCTTAACAAATGTGTATGAACCTCCATTTTTTTTTCAACAAAGCCACAATAAGTTTTTGTCTATATTTACAGTGCAGGGAGAAGCCTTAACTTGCAAGACAATTCTTGGACAGTGTGTACAACATGCTTATTACTTCCACAGAATAGAATCGAACACGGACTAAGACTGCAGAGTATACACTAGAAATCAGCTGGGAAAAGACAAAAAAAAATGAAGGCTGGAGACACGAAACCCTTCACCAGGATCTGTCGCCCACAGCCAGAACCAGGGTGACATCACACAGTGGGGACAGGTTCCAGTGCAGGAAGAGAGGGGAGAGCCAGGGAAGGGGCTGCACCGGGTTAGGTTAGGACCAGTTAGTTACCTCGCTCTTGGTGTTTACATACAAAAGCAGTTATCTCTGCTTCTTAGAGCTACACACAGAAAGAAAGGAAGCTGTGACGGTTACATTAGGAATCTGTCACTTTGCAATATCGACACCATCAGAAATAGGGGAAATTCACTCATTAAAATTTCAGTAGCAGGAAATAAATATCAAAACATCATCACTGTCCCTCAGTACAAAACCTCCACCCCACCCACAGATACCTCCCTGTCCCACTCACGAACAACCACCCCTACAGTTCCAGGGTGGCTATTTAATACTACCTTCTCCCATCATCAGTGTCCCTGCCCCTCTGTAAGGCTGGCTCCGGGCTCCACAGGCTTCAACAACTGACAGAGACGTGAGACATGCCAAGGACCCTACAAATCCACTTTCCTTCTATACGACAAATGTCTTCAAGGATCTGGTCTTTCAACAGGAACAATAGCTTTTCAAAAAATATCCTGACAAAGGAAAGGAGGTAACTCGAATTACTCCAATCTGATCATCTTGTCAAAGTGGATGAATCTCCATTTTTAATAAAAGGTTAGTTAACAAAAAACAAAAACCTTAGAGCCCACTAGGGAGGGAGAATGAGGGAAGGGGAAACCATGGTGTGGAGACAGGAAGAGAGGGCGTGGATAGGACAAGCCGGCGATTCCAGCACTCTGGAGGCTGAGGCAGGAGGACCAAGAGTTTGAGGTCAGCCTGGACCACATCGTGAGTTCCACCAGCCTGGACTACATAGTGAGTTCCACCAAGGTTGGACTGTAGTGTGAAACTCTTCCTCAAAAATAAAATAAACCAGGCATGGTGGCACACACCTGTAATCCCAGCCCTTGGGTGGCAGAGGCAGACAGAGCTCTGTGAGATCAAAGCCAGCTCTGTCTACATAGTGAGTTCTAGGCCAGTTGGGGCTATAGGGAGACCTTGCCTATAAATAAATAGATTAATTAATTAATTAATTAATTAATAAAATAAATGAAGACAGTATACCTACTCTGAAGGCTGTTTTTAAGTATATAACTATATAGCTGAATGTGACATAGAAAAAGTTCTCCCGAGAATTCTCCTAAGTTTGGGAACTTGCCAACAGAGAGAGGGCAGGGATGGCAAGGGCACCTCGTTTCTGCAGTGTCTGTTTCTTTGTGCCATCCACTTGTTTTCAAAAAGTTCAGACGGGGTCTGGAGAGATGGCTCAGCGGTTAGAGCACTGGCGGCTCTTGCGGAGGACTCAGGTTTGATTCCCAGCACCTACATGGTGGCTAACAATGTTCATAGCTCCAGTTCCAGGGGATCCAACGCCCTCTTCTGACCTCTGCCAGCATTGCACACACAGGCACACTTATATACATACAAGGAAAACATTCAAACGTATAAAATAAAGATAAATAAAATAATTTTTAAAACCCAAAGAGTGGGGGCTGGAGAGATGGCTCAGCAGTTAAGAACACTGACTGTTCTTGTATAAGACCTGGGTTCGAATCCCAGCACTCACATGGCAGCTAACAACTGTCTGTAACTCCAGTTCCAGGGGATCTGACAGCCTTTTCAGTCCTCCTTGGGTGTTGCACAACATGGGTGCACTTACCTACGTGCAGGCATAACACTCATACACATAAAATGAAAATTTAAATTTTTTTAAAAAATTAAAGAGCGCAGACTGCCTTTGTCATTTGAGATTAGTAAAATGGTAATGCAGGGAGGAAATGTTCTTTTTTTTTTTTTAAGGAGTAACCCCCCCCCACACACCTAGCATTTTGACAAATCTGATTTACTCTTTAAATGGAATTTTCTGGAAGTGGCATATACCAAGTGGCAGACAGGCTCACCACTTATGGAGACACACTAGGAAAAGTCCTGGGTAACACTCCAACTTCACCCCACCCTTTCTGCAGTTACCAGTGCTACTGACAGACCTAGGGGCAGCAGGTGACCTCCTGGCTCAAAAATGCTCTGACTATAGCATCTAAGACCAGTGAGCTCAGCATAGGCCAAGATGCATTTAGGAGACCTGGTGCACCCAATTTACAGCTGTGTATGGATCCA